TCTCTTTAGAGTATCACTTCATTAAAAATGCCATTACACCATAACCCAATAGGGTCATCTGAAATAATGCTAATCAAATACTAGATGGCATCAAAATTCCCTTCTCCCTCCAGGCCAACCCCTTCACTGTGACCCAGTGTGACATCAGTGGCAGTGTATGTACTGCCTTAGTGCTTAGCATTCATATTCAAAACATTTGTGCTGCTTTATGGAACATGCCAGGGTCTGGAGAGGAAAGGAGAGGATTACAAACATGCAGGTTCTAGCATCTGGAATTTATCACTTCATTAAACGCTCAGATGTGATGGTAGCTAACAACAAGGGGAAAAATAAACAGAAAAGGCCTATAGGATTGGTCAGTCGTCCCTGGAACGTACTTCTCCCTGCAATGAAGTACACTTCCACAATCATTCTAATCAAAATGCTCCTCATCAGTAAAATGGAAAGCAGCCTTCCATCTACTATTCATTCCCAATTCAGAAGTGAAGAAACAATAAAAGTATATCTTAAATGCTGCTGCTGCTGTTTGGATACTTAGGATACTTGTATACTTGTTGTCTGCATACTCAGGAGAAGGTTTTGCAGGCTAGCATACTCACTGTGTGCGAATATGCTAGAGTACAAAAGGTCCATATGCCTTATCTTTTCTGATTCTGTCTAGACACAATTCTGTGTCATTATTCTCTGTAGCAGGCAAGAAAAATACCCTGACTGTCCCACTACCAACTGTCAGCACTTCAGGTCCAGAATAAGACTGAGTTGGTTTATTTAAATAAGGGTCAAACGATGATCCTTATAGAGGATCAGAATCAAGTCTGTCCAGACAGCTTTAATTCTCAACTGCTCTCTGTGTATCCATACAAGGAAAAGTATGTTCTAACTCTTTAAGCGAAGTTAGGGATAATCTGACACTCTGCTCTTCTAAAGGCAGAGAATTAGAACCCAATGACTAATTCCTCCTTCAGTTTAATTTTTGCTTGCTTGTTTTTTGCAGGCCACAGAAAAATGAGTGCTTTGCTGAAGCAGGAGTAAAGTAGCAGACTGACAATATCGTGGGACTCAGAAAACTAGCACGTGGAGAAGTGATGTTTGGTTGGTGAAAAAATCTGATAAGGAAATAATGATAATGAAATAATAACTAAGAGCACTCTTAGTAATTTTCTGTATCAACAGCAGAACAGTTACTGTTTCTCTAAAATTCACAGCAAGTTTTCGTGATGGCTTCCAGGCTCAAATATACTGCATTTTAAGTTAATGGATTAACAAAGCAGAAGTAGAAAGGTCAGGAAAATGATCAGTTCCTTAGTCTAGCGTTAAGAAATAGAATTGTAATTCAGTATATTTCCTCTAAGTAAACTAAAGCTGACTGTTGATTTATGAAGGCAAGAACAGTTATGTCCACCAGAAAAAACAGAAAAAGCTGTATCATTACTTGGACAGGGAAAGATATGATCAGTTCCATAACGACAGAGACCTCCAACCTTTGCTCTAGCTGGTAGTTCAGGAAGCATAACCAACACATTTTAAGTAAGCACTGAGCAACATCTCTAACAACTTTTTCTTTTTAAAAAGTTAAAGATGCATTGAGTCAAAAATTAAGAAAATCAAGTTACAAAAAAGGAACAGTCCTTTCTCAGAAAATGCTGTCCCCAATAAAGCTGAATTTCTAGTACACTTATTTTAGCACACTGATTTCTTATCCCATGCTCCTCTTGCTTAGCAGACACAGTCTTATCCCTGACTTTGGGTAGCTGCAGTAGATCTTTTCCTGTAAAGATTAGCTCAGCTATTCTACCTCTAAACTTTTGATAAAAGGTAATAAAGATTTTATGTGACGGTCCAGGTTGGGTTTATGTTACTTTGGGCAATTTAGAGAGAATCAGCTATTACGCAGCACCTTCTAGGAGGAGGTGCCTAATCAGAAAAGATAAGGCATACGGACATGCCAGTCCAGAGAGGCCTTGCTCTGTGCGCGCCACACTGTATCTGTGAATAGACACAGGACTTCCTATTCCCGAACTGACAAGCCCATCTATTCATTGTAAAACAAAATGTCTCCAAGAGAGCGCATACTGTCAGCCTGGGACTGAAATCACAGCAAGGATCATTAAGAAGGATTACATGGCTGAGTTTTATAATAGTCTGCAAAGAGGGTCTCAAGACCAAAGGATAGACTACTTATACTAATGGGATGGAAAAAAATTCTGTTAGAAAAGCAGTGAAAACAGAAAGGACTCTATTATGTACTTGAGTGACTAAATATATTTGCTTTTTGTGAACTTGCTGCTCCAGAAAGTGACAGGACAAAATATAGCCTGTTCCACTACAGCACATTCCAGATCTAGATTTGCAAAGAATAGATGCTCTCAGGCTGAAGTTACATAGTATGCCTTCAGATGATTTAACATGTAACTGTATGCTAATGGAGGAGATCCTATTCATGCCTCTCTTCTCCCCCACAATATGCATATTCCTCCCTCCCTCCCACTTCACCAGTGCTTGCGCTCACCAAAAACTGTACTGGGCTGATTCAACGCTCTGACTTGAACGTGCTAAATTGAACAATTTTCTGTGGGATAGCAAGCAGAATTAATTCAGTGAAGGGTCCGACAAATGCCAAGGTGATGGGACTAGGATAGAGGAGGGGAGAAGCAGAAGCAGGGTAACTGCAGACTCCTGGACTGGCTTGTCACTGACCTATACCTTCATCCTAGGAGACATTCAGACCTATTTCGTGCCTCTCCTCTGCCATACAGGTGTGGAGAGACAGTGCAGGTAGGAACCAGCTAGGGGGCCTAACCAACAGGAACTAAAATTGCAGATTGTAGCACAGTGGGAAACTCCAGACACTGCAGATCAATGAACTTCCTACAGTTTTGGCTCAGCTCCCTTTTAGAGGCACTGAGCTCTTACAGGCTCAAATACCCTCTCTCCCCTCCCTTCCACTTTTCTTCACTTGTCACATCTCACCTGCCCTCACATCTCACCTACACTCTAAGCTTTATCCTCTCCAAATCCTTACTGCCTTTCTTTAGTGTTTCTTCTTTCCCACCTAAATTCCTGATTTTAATAATAATAACGGCATTAACATGACACTCACCAGCACCACAATAATCACTGAGCATACACACCACACCCCTTGCCCCTTCCTTTTTCCATCAACCTAGACTGTCCAGCAGACTCGCATTTGCCATGTATTTATGCAATGTCTTGGATAACAGGGTACTACAGTAACTATCCTAGCAACACCATCGCTAGTAATAGTCTTCTGATTGACCTGATACAGTCAAGGTACACCAGTTTTCCCTGCATGTTAAAAAAACTCTCCCAAACCAAGCAGCTTTTTTTTTTTTTTTTTTTTTAAAAAAACCACCCACCAACACTAATGCTACTCTCCCAATTCTCAGTGTAATACACAACTTTCAACGGCCAGAGCTGCGTGCACTTCCAATTAACCTCTCTGATGTACTGGAAAATACACACACTGTTTTCTACAGAATAATCCATTTCAGCACACAAAGAAAACAATAAACTAGTAACTAAAAGGAAACCAATTAGAAAGCAACTTTGTGCATATCAGATCTATTGCAAATAATGAGCTGCTTCTTTGTACCCACTGCTTTTGCAGGACTTGCTGTGCATTCACCTGGGGCATGAAGAGTCTGAGCTAACACCCAAAATCCACATAGCTACCCTTTTGTGTTAACAAGGGAGACAAACGTTGGCTGCAAAAGTGTGTGGGCAGAAACGTAAGCAGAACGCCAAGGTGATGATGAATAACGCACTCCTGAATGTCAGGGTACAGTAGGATTTGTGTAACATCTCAGCTCCTTTCCCACGTTGCAGCAAAATAAAATAAAATGCAGGTGGAACCTGTTGTTATTCGTATGCAAATAAAATTAACTTATTTAAATTCATCTATCTGTTCTGGCCAACCATTTATGAGTAATTCTCAACATTTCAGTCACCTGGAAAAAAGGCAGGAAGTTCCAGGCACAAACACTTCCTAACCAGTTAATATTCTGGAGCACAGACGATTAAACCACACAGTAAGTAAGCGTTTCATTCTTTCAGTGAGCTTTGTTTCTTGCCTAGCTTCCTGGCTGCTTTTTGTCTCTACCTTTTTTCTCCTGTTTCTGGCAGATGAAGTGGAGGCGGAGAAGAAATGGGAGGGAGGTTCTTGGGCAACATAAGGATTACAGTAATTTCCAACCCTTCAGCAAGAAGGGTTTGCTCAGGAAACAGATGACCTGTTGCTGCTACCTACTCCTCTGTCCTTTTTTTTTCTTTTTTCTTTCTTTCTTTTTACTCTGAAATTAATACATACATACCTGTATTAACATATACGTACCTGTCTCTGTATTAAGTTACACAGCCCAGGAACAAAGTCCAGCGCATCTAACTCCTTTCTGCCCCAAAATCCATGGGAACAATTCCACACATTTCCCCCACCTTTTTGTTATTGCTCTGGGCAATTTAAGTCAGATAAAACTGCAATTCAGAAAGATCCTCAATCACGCACCTACAGCTCATTGACATTGGGTTCATGTCCAAACCTGACGTGCATGTAGATGCCACTCATCAAAAGGACAGCTATGCCATGGATAACAAATCATCCCAAACTCTCTAAATTAAACAACAGTAGTCCCACAGGGACAAACTTATTTTCAAAGCATTCTTGGTATTCTGCCTGATTACCTGCCCTTGTTCAAAACAAAGGGAGAGCTGTCTCCTCACACAGCTAGTTCTGCTTGTGTTTCCTTTCAGCATTCTGAAATAAGAGCCTTTTTTTAAGATGTCACATTTCGTTTTCAACAGGAAAAGTGGCCTGAAATGGTGGGGAAATGAGTCTGTACAGCTTTTTTTTTTCCCCTTCAATAGGGAAAAGGAGAAAAAGGATGAGAAAAAGTATAATTAGTGAAAGAATAACACTAAGAGCCAAGAGAATCTAATCATCGCTTGATCTCTAGAAAACAAAAAGAAAAGTGATGACTACTTACATATAATATGTAGGATATAATCCTTCAAAGTACCAGCAATGCTTTTTGGCCTCTGTACACTACAAAGAAAGAAAAAAAAATAGTATCAATATTTACGTAGAACAATGTGTGATTATAAACACAAGCTTCGAGTATTTATAAACACTGTAACTTTGAGCAATTAGAAAAGAAAGACCTCTCTTCCCAAAGACTTCAGAAACTTAAAACACAAAACAACTGGAAAATCAGTTAACTTGGACTGTTAACGTGCCCTGTTAGGGTTCAGATGCTTCACTCAGGGCTCTGTCTGTGGGGCCCCATAGGTTCACACCATACACAACCGTAGTCAGTAGGCTCTGCACAGACACAGGATCCAATCGCATATACTTCTTGGCAGAACTGCAGTCTTAAAAGAATCTCAAGAATACGGGGAACTGAGGAGTCCGTCATGGTTGTAGTCCCTTAAACCCCAAGGCACTCCCAGTTAGACGATGCCTGTGCAATGAATTCGCTATTTGCGAGGAATTATTCATCTTTATGGAATTCTCTGACGCGCAGAGTCAGGCTTGGAAAGGAACAAAACAGAGAACCCACGTTAGGATACCATCTCATTTTCCTACAGCCTGGAACTGCTTCAAGTGTTCATTAAAGCACTTGGGAACGGAAACTGCTTTCAGCAGCCCAGTAGTATTGTTCTCTTTTGCAGACTGTCAGTATATCCTTTTTAAAGGATGGTGACAGGCATTTTCTCTGCGTGTGTGTGCAGGCTATGTGGGAAACACATGTTATTACGGGTACTGCCAGAGTAGACAGCAACCAAGAACAATACTGCTGCTTAAAAAGGAAAACCAGATGTCAAGCGCAAACTGTATATATAACACACACAGTATTTCTGCATATCCTGCTGACACCTCTAGCATAAAATACTGTCTTCATTACAGCCATAGCTCCAGCGGCTCCACTAAAAGCTGTATTATCTGATCACGCAGAGACAAGGCACTCTGGGACATCTTCCACAGAGCGGCAAGGAAAATCTCGCTGCGGTTTTAACAACAGCTCTCTACTGCTCACACCTGACATGCAATGTCAGAGAGTGCTCGGCGCATCCGCAGCACTTGGATCATCCTTCATGTTTTCTTGGCAGCTCACCTTTAAATAATAGCTCATATAAGTTTATTAGCCTCCCTGAATCCCAGAACACTAAATGAATCCAGTTAAGACAAAGACAAAGTGTTTTTAGATCTGACTCTCAGTCCTCATGAATAGCAAAGGCTGCAAGCTCTTTAATGAGAATCTGATGAGCTAAATCACAGACAGATCAATTACAGCCCATGAAGACAAACTGCTATGGATTAAATTGTTAAGACTAGAACAGGAGGTGGGGGGAGGAGGAGGAGGAGAGAGACTTTTGATGCATGTGAACAGACCTTTCGCTAATCATATGACAAGGGCTCACACCAGTCTTCAAGCTGCACGAGCCTTAGGTGCTGTTGAAAGGACTGCAGCTTTTCCCTTAGGATAAAAACAGTGGAAGCCTCATTTCCTTCTAAAACTGCACCACTATTACAGCAGCGCATGAAGGAGGGCTCCATAGCTGCTGCTGGTGGAGCAAGTGGTTTTCCAAATATTAATCTCCATATTTGCCCTATTCCTTTTTTTTTTTTCCTTCCTTCTTTCAAAGCTTCCGAGTTCTTAAACTTTCCTTCTGAATCTGTTCATCAGCATGCCGTTCCCTCTTAATCTGAGATTAGAAACGGGACAAGTTTCTCTCAGTGCCACTCTGCAAACATAGGACTCTCATAAATCCAGTGTGTCCACTGCTGATTTACTGAAAAACACTTCAGCTCTTTGCCTTTGAAGACTGCAAATCAGCAGGCCCTGGCTAAAATGCCACTGTTGGCAGGTCAGCCAGCCCCTTGGGTAGTCTCATTGCAAAATTCAGCTTGGGGTATACACTGGTATATGTTTTTCTTCCTGCTTCTGGACTGGTATGATCCACTGTTCATTTTAACATCTTTACAGCCTGTCTGTCTCAAGTGTTTTCATTGATACTTTCCCAGCAACGTTTCACAGCACATAGAGCCTGCATACCCATTACTCACCCAAGTAAAGGGGACATTTATATTCAGTACTCGTTCTGCTTGCCCTTGTCCCCGTACCTTAATCCACTTCACAAGTTCTAACATGAACTGGGAAGATTCTTCCTGTTTTCCAAGCTGTAAAATTTCTGTTTCTGCCTCCTAAATTATTTTGACTTCTCTGTTTCAGTCAGCCAAATATGTTTACTGCTACTATGACAAAGGCTCCAGCCTGGGAGAGTTTTGCTAATAACAAGCTTCCTTCTAGCTTACAGGGCTTAGATACGTATTCTAAAAATTCTTCAGGATAGGGCTCTGTCTTTACATGGGACCTAGCACAGTCAGTGCTAATCCTGATTCTGATGTTTTTTAATATCACAGTAATATGAATAAAGCATGGAAGTTGTTCGACTCTCCTACACAGGAATCAGGCAAACAAACAAGTACACCTCAAACGTAAGCAGCACAGCAGAACATGATATACACTACATATCAGACAGATTTACATCCATAGGACAAAGTGCCGCAATCCTTGCTTAGTTAAAACTCTTACTGATCTCCATAGCAACATTATTTGAGGAAACCCTGACATAAAACAGAAAGGTACAAACCATAGTCTGTATTTCTGGTTAACAGACCTCACAGGAATTCACTGATAAGGAGGAGAAGAGAACATCCTAGCCTCTAAGGATTTAAATCTCTTCACCAGAGAGATGAACAGGGTAGCTAGGACATGCATTAGTTTTCCCATCCCACACACATCCTTTGAAGCAGGCTACGATCATCTGTCTCTCACCAAGATCCAAATTCTTCTTCTGAGCGAGTACGCTGGCCTCTTAGTAAAGCTGGTGCAGAGTCACACAAATGCACAAGGGAAAGTATTCTAGCAGCATTCGATTTTGATCCTCGCCTCAAGGATTGCGTCCTTGCAGTTGTTTGAGATAATTCAGATTCAAGCTCTCAAGTTAGCTAAGAAGCCTCAGCTGGTAGCAACTCACTTCAGTCCACAAAGCAGAAACAAAGAAAGAGAAGGTTATTCATACTACTGTGATACAAAAGGACCTCAGATATCAGGGTTGGTACCCGCTCTGCTAGCTCCTGTATGAAGGCAGGCTATATACCCAAAGAATTTCTAACAAGTGTTTGTCCATGTCTTTAAAAAGTCACTTACCCATTCACTCATAGCAAAAAAGTGTGTTTATGGTTTTTAAACTAAGCTTCGTTATGGCCCTGCTGATGCTTTTAACTCTTCTAAAAGAAGATCTCTCCACATTTTGGATATAGAATTTCTTCTACATCCTTTATCAATTTGACAGAGCTAAAAATATAAATAAATACAGGAGTACGTTCATTTTTTAAATAAATGATGCAGGTCTAATTGTGTGTGCATGTGCAATCTCTAGAGAATTAATGGTATGTGAATTAGCCAGATGCTTGAAAACATTTCTTCAGACTGTGGAATTTGGAAAAAGAGTAAAACCACATGGTTTTTTTGTTTTTTACATCAACATCTCTCCTGCAGCCTGTTTTCTTTGACAGAGTGTAGCAACATGAACTGCAAGCTGTGCTTTTCTGTGGCTTTTAAACTCATTCAGGTTTTCTCTAAGAAAGGAAACATGCTTCCTGCCACAGATTGAAACTGCAAATGCTGCTGCTGCTGCTGCTAGCAAGAACAATGAAAAAGGGGAAAAGGTACTAAAACATTAACCAAAGATTGGTTTTGATCACACCATAAAATATAGAATACAAGTACGTGTGTGCACACACAGTGTGGGGGAAGAGAGAGTAGGCAGCCTGCTCACTGAATGTCTGAAGGTATTCTACAGCTCATTAGTTATTCCTTGCAGGATTTGCAGAAATACTATTTAGAAAGAATATCCTCCACACTGCACCTCACTATGTTTCAGTTCACAGGATAATAATTTAGAAAAATAAACAAAAAAACCCACACACAGAGACCTGTCTGATCAATTAATTACTCTTTGTAATCAAGGGAGCAGTGGATTCACACCCAGTGCTTTTACTGGAGATTTAGAAAGTAAACTATTACAACCCTATCTACACATAGTAAATACTTTCCAACATAAGTACAATCAATTTTTGTTAAGGGAAGTGACAAAAAAGAAGCCTTCGGGGGATGAAAAGGTTTGTGGCAGGAGAAGAGGGGAGGAAGATGGGTATCTGTATTCTGAAGGAACATTCAAACTGAGTTTGCGACATCTGCTCAAAGTCAGATTCGGAAGGAGGCATGAGTCTGCTATTGCTCACTAAGTCAGTAAGACTATCAGTTATTAGCAACTGAGGGGCTAGCTGTCTTTTTAAACCATATAAAAAGCTAGACACTACAGCACAATTTTCATTACAGATCACAATTACAAGAACCCAAACAGGTAAATTCAGAACAAAAAAAAAAGTAGGAATTTAACCGAGTGACCTGCCATATTGACATGACAGAAATGGCTCCTAGTGTTCTGGAATGACTCAAGTAGTCAGTGGCTGTTAAATCCTCTCATTCAGTTGGGTATATCCTACACATTAGCCGAGTGTAGGTTGATCCAAATCTCATTCCTGTGGCTACAGGCTCTAAGACTCTGCTAGGATTTATTCATCCAGAGATGAACAGGAGGAAAGAACTAAAAGTGTATCTAAGACTTGGAACAAGACCTCATTGTTTCTCAGCAACACACGGCGTGATTTAGAAAAAGATCTCCTATTCCAACTTACAGCCAGCTCGGTATTCCACACAGCCAGATCAGCACTACTAACTGAGGATTACGGGAAGGGTAACGCTTTTCTGACCACATGGTCCCACAGCATCTGAGAAATACCTGGCTATGCCTGCTGCCTCTCTTAAAGAAAGCCTCTAGCAAGTCACCTGCACAGATCCGTTCCATTTTTATTGGTCGCTGCACCTGGCAGCTGCTCTATGGAGCACAGATGAAAAGATGAGGCTGTCTGCAACGTGATTCAACCCAGACTAAATAATCTGTTCCAGGAGGCATGTTACTGGCCACTGTTATTCTGTTATTCACAATATTCTATAGCTTCTGACCTTTAAAACTGTATCAGTTAGCAGAACACTTCCATTTCAGCCCCTAGACAAGAGCTGAAAGTATTATGAGATACAAGCTGCTCATTAGGTGAGGTGCACTGAAATCAGAGGGACTTCTGCATGCTGAAAGTCTGAAAGATTGGTTTTGCAGAGACAAGAAGGTGAGCTTACTGGTCTTCCACAGCCAAGAAAGGGCAGAAACTCATCCATTTAAGTAATGGACAACATATACCGAGACTGAAAAGTACAGCCTAAGGGTGAAAACAATTTACTACAGAAAATACATTTTGTCTTGGCCTTGCCTGAATCCATCAAAAACT